CTTCAAAACAATCTCCCTCTTTTGAATCTGTGGAACAATCTCAAGAAGAGATTAATTTAGTCTCTTTGGAATCTGAATCTCAAGAAGAGATTAATTTAGTCTCTTTGGAATCTGAACTACAAAAGGTAAAATATTTATGATACTGCTTGCTTTACTGACAATTATTAACCAAAAATTTACTTGCCGACATCACATAGGATTAGAATTAGCATTTTATTAGCTGCAGATATATATTATTAGTAAATTGTTACTTGACATGATGTTGGCTAAGTGAGTTGTTGGTGAAACGATTGTCAAAGTAAGGCAGATCTAAAAAAATTATATTTATTAATATTAATAAAATTTTTTTTTTAGAGTTAAGAATCTTCAAAACAGTTGCCAAACTATCTAGTATCTGCTAAAAATTCTAATAAAAAGATACTAATTGCCAAATTTATTCAAAAAATAACCACAGCAGCCTCATCTGATAATATAGATGTGTTTGTAAATATTGTAAATAAGAGTGCTGAAGATTCTATAGAAAAAAAATTAGCTTAATTATTCCAAACAGCTTATTGTAGTGAAAAGAAACTTCAACAAATTAAGCAAAAGGAAATTCAAAATTGGTATAATTACGCTGAAGTATTTGAAGATAGAGTAGGTCAACTTATTGAAGATGGTTATGAAAATAATGCTACACAAACTGAATTATATGATGAAATATTTCCATTAATTTTGGGTACCACACAAGAGAACTTGTGACAGAGAACACATAAAGCACGGGTTATTTTTAAATTATTTAGCAATATTGGGGTAGATAAGATTTAATGTATAAATTATAGTGCAGATTCTTTTTCGTACTATACTATGGATGATATTAATATGATAATAGATTATGTAAAACATAGCAATAATTAGTTTTAACTATCGCAGTATATTAAATTGTATTATTGTCTTGTATTTGCTACAAACTGCAATTGAAAAAAACTTTTGCTACTATATTAATGTATTTTAAAAAATTCTATAAAAGTATTCTGATTTATTATTATTCTACTGTTATTAAATTTTATATAATCAATTAGTATAGGTATCAAATTATTGTACACCCCAATGTCACAAGTCCCAAGAACCATTTTAAAATACAAGTATAATGTCAGGTAAAGATAAAATTTATTATAATCAATTAGTATAGATATCAAATTATCGTACACCCCAATGTCACAAGTCCCAAAAACCATTTTAAAACACAAGTATAATGTCAAAAATTTTTCAGATAATGATAAAATTTATTATAATCTATGTTTTGTGAAAAAGGATAGTTTTCACCTATAAGTTAATATTTGTATCTTACAATTTAATTTGTATTCTTTTTATCTGTCTTTTTACTTTTAGACCAAAAATTTTTGAAGTATCTTATTTTGAAAGTGGTATTTAAAATTGCTAATTTATTAATAATACATTTTAAATTAATTATAATTTGCTAATATTTGCAAATTTAAAAATTTAAAATTTTATAATTTTATAAAGTATTTATTCGTCTAATAAATTTATATATGCCTATTAAATTTAATAATTTCTTATTATATAACATCTTTAGTAGAACTTGCTGACTACTACTTTGACAACAATCTACATCTAGCTAGCAATAAACTAATTATGATCATTAAGAATCTTAACAATTACAATTAGCAAAATTATGATCGTTAAGAATCTTAAAAATCATAATTCTGCAATTGCTAAATTATGATTGTTAAGATTCTTAACGATCACAATTCAGCAATTGCTAAATTATGATTGTTAAGATTCTTAATGATCACAATTCAGCAATTGCTAAATTATGATCGTTATGATTCTTAATGATCATAATTCTGCAATTTCTGAATTACGATAGAATTATGATCGTTAAGATTCTTAATGATAACAATTC